ACTCACTGCCACGTACAGGAAATTAGGTATCAGCCATGAACCAGAAAGTGTGTACTGTCATGAACAAGCTTTAGTAATGAAAGAATAGCAAGGAGGAAAGTTGTTCCTCTGAGGATTGGCTGACCCATACTTATATAAGGTACATTGGCACCAAAATCTCATTTAGAAGCCACACACTGCAGTTGATAAAAAGACATACTCCTGAAACAGCTTTGAATTTTAAAAGTGAGAATTATTTTTGTCTTTTTTTTAACCCAGAATATTTCCAAACGGACTCAGAAACAGAAGATCCAGCTAAGATGTACCTACTGGCATGAAACAAGACTATACCAACTAATCAAAGTAGTTGACTGTCCATCTTCACAGCTGTTAATGTGATACAATACTCTGGATACTGACAGTCTGTGAAGAGATCAAGAACAGAAGGGCATAATAAGGACTACCTGGGTTATACCAAATTTGCCTATATGAGAACTTGTGCGACAGCATATGCAGAACATGATCTCAGCACTTTATAATCTGCTTCAATCAGGCTTTCACTTGAATCTGCACTGTTAAGGCACTATTTTACATTTCTCAGTGCATGCATGTAATATGTGCATGCTGAGATCCCACAGGTCACGTGAATGAGACCTGTTCGCTTCTGTCCTTGGCTGTGTAATCAAATTATGGTGTGAATACACAGGTCCAGGCACACTGCCGCTGCAAAAGGCATGCCAAGGGGAACACAAAACTGCCACAATAACACAGCATCCTCCACAGCTTTTTCCTTGGAACCAGCCTTAGCGCAAGGCTGCTTTCATTGCCTACGGTTAGGGTTTGTTTGCTTGTGTAATCAAAAGAAGTGAAAAACTCCAGAAAACTGCATGCTAGTAACTAGTCAGAGCAATCTGAAAGAGCCTGAATTTAATTGGCTTGGTGCCTTACCCTAGTAAATAAATATAAGCCCAGCTTCCCTGAGAGCTTTAAGTAATTGCTTTACCCAGCCAGATTAGACTAGCCAAGGGCTTGTATAATTTATATTAATTTTTGATTGAGATTGTTTTCATTCTCCCTAAAATCCTGGTTCACCTGAGAAGGCAACGTGTTCCCCCTGACTCATGGAGAGTTGTGTTCTATGCTGTAATTTGCTAGAACAGTGATTATGTGCAAGTGGGAGAATTTCACAAGCAAAATGTCTTGTCAGTGAAAATAGCAGCTTTACTCCTACATTCACTTAGCAGCAGGAGGCACAAAGTATCCTGGGGTTTTTGAATTATTGCTGAAATGAACTCCAGATGCCTGCAGAAAGACTGCTAAATATATACCTAATTTCCAGTTTCTTTTGTCTTAGCCCGGCTGTTAAACACCCTTCAAACAACAGCATTTGATACATTCTGAATTCTTTATGAGCACCTTTGTGCACAATGAAACGGCACTTGTGCAAAGGGGCAGCACACCAGCACACCAGCGCTTCGGAAGTGACGTCTCTGCCAGCCTGTCTCGGATATTCACCTTCCTGCGCGGGGGAAGTTTTCTTATAAATTACAGCCTTGCTTTTACATTACATGCACACTGATTTTATACCTCTCAGCCTTTATGCTAGAAAAATTTCCATATTTATGTAATATTAATCAGGCACCAAATTTTGCTATTTTGAATTTTCAGCAAAGGAGAGCAAAACTATACTTCCTGGCCTGCTGCCACTCCAGTGAGTCATCTTTGCTGACACGCAACTAATAGAGCTGAAGATTTAGAATTGCTGTTTCATAGAGGAAAAGGATCTGGGAGACAGAAGCTCATGTATGCCATGGCTCATCCCTGCCAACTCTGACTCCCACATGCATTGCCTACAGTAGAGCTGAGAACAATGAAACTGCCTCTGGCTTTATCTAAGGGATAGATATGCATAGAATATTCTGAGTTGGAAGGGACCCACAAGGATCATCGAGTCCAACTCTTAAGTAAATGGCCCATACAGGGATTGACATATATCAAGGCTTTGGTGTGGAAATAAAAGGGTCTTTAAAAATCAAAGAATTTTTTTAATACCACACTAAACTATTTGCATATTCAAATAAATAAATTAATAAATGTATTTTTCATTGATTAAGGGATACACTGGTTTGGGCTTGCATAGACTTAGTTGTCTTCGTGGTAGGTAGTATAGGGCTATATTCTGGATTTGTGCTGGAAACAATGTTGGTAGTTTCAGGATGTTTCTGTTATTGCTGAGTAGTGCTCACACAGAGCAAAAGCATTTTCTGCTCCTCACACAGCCCTCAGTGAAGAGAATGGAGGTGCAGAAGGAGTTAGAAGGAGACACAGCTGGGACAGCTGTCCCCAGGGATATCCCACACCATATGGTGTCATGCATAGCATACAAACCTGGGGGAAGAAGGAGGAAGGGGATCACATTTAGAGTGTTGGTGTTTGCATTTCCCAGGTCACCATTACAAATAGAGCCCTGCTGTCCTGGAGATGGCTGAACACCTGCCAACCCACAGGAAGTGGTGGATGAAAGCCTTGTTTGGCTTTGCTTGTGTGCACAGCTCTTGCCTTAACCTGTTGAACTGTTTTTATCTCAGCTCATGAGTTCTCCCACTTCTACCCTCCTGATTCTCTCCCCCATCTCACTGGTGGGAGTGAGTGAGCAGCTTTGTGGGGCTTTGTTGGCAGCTAGGGTTAAAGCATAAGGCTTGGATGACCAGGGCAACCACTCTGGTTGTGACAGGGAGCACACAGCACACTGTCAGCTGCTGCATTCCTGTCAATCGACAATCCCTGGCTCAGTCTTCTTTATACTCTCCCTTCATGTATTTCTACATTGACAATACCCATTTTGAACTTTCTCTTTTCTGTGCTAAACCACCCTGCCTGTCTCAACCTTTCCTCATGTGAGAGGTGCTCCAGTCCCCTAATCAATCTCAGTGACTGCTTGCTGACTGTCTCCAGTAGCTTTGTGCCTCTCTGATACTGGGGAGGCCAGAACTGGACACAGTGCTCTGCATGTGGCCTCAGCAGGGCTGGTAGAAAGGAAGGGTCACCTTTCCCAGCCTGCTGCCCACACCCCTCCTAAGGCAGCCCAGGGTTCCACCAGCCTTCGTTACCACAAGGGCACAGAATTGGCTCATGTTCACCTCGGTGTCCACTGGAACCCCCAGTTCCTCTGGTGCAAGGCTGCCTTCCTGGTGGTCAGCCCCCAGAAAATACTGGTGCAGGGCTCTGCACGGCTTTTGCTGAACTTCTGAGGTTCCTGTTTGCTGTATCTCCAGCCTGCTGAGGTTCCTTCCCTTTGGATGGCAACAGAACCCTGGGCTGTATCAGCCATTCCTCACATGTTGGAACATGCAAACTTGCTGAGGGTGCACTCTGCCCAATAATCCAGTAATTATGTAATTACAAGCCAGTAATTTCATCATAGAACGTTATCAGGTTGGCCAAGTATGAGTTCCCCTTTGCAAACCCATCCAGCTCTCATCTGACTCAGCCTCCCCTTAAGCACAGTCATATACTGTAGTCTGCAGTGGCAGAAATTGGGTCCTCCCTCCATTTCTCAATATAAAACAGAAAGCAAGGGTCAGGAAAATCCTGTGTGCAGGAATGCCATAATTTTTCCTATCTGAGATCATGGAAGTAGAAAAACCAGCTTATTTCATTTACAGAAATTCAGTGAAGGTCCAGTTGGATTCAAGGAAGGACTGAGGAGGGGAAGCAAAACTGTTTAAGAAAGAAAAAAAATGCCCCTCGAACAAAATAACAAGTGTTTCTAAACATTGTGTGTCTATCCATTTTCATGTTTTGTCATGTTTGTTCACCAACTCACAACGCAGCAGGAACCAGGCATTATGACAATATCTTTGGAGTCATCAAATGCTAAATGAGAATTCCACATTGTAGGGTTAAGCGGAGCTGATGACACAGCTCCCTAAGGGCATCTCGGTCTTACCCTGTTTGCATTAACAAAACCTCAAAGAGATACCATTAGTGAGGTTTGGAAAGGACACTGTAGCAGGGAGGTTGACATTGGCATCTGTAAATCCTCTGCATACCTGAATAAGGAGCTCGGCAGTAATCTAAATAAACTCTACAAAGGGTACAATTTCTGGCATTCTTGCTGCTTCCCGAAAACAAAACTGTCATTGTTATCTTCTGATGCAGTGAAAGACCTCTCTTACTTCCCTAGAAATACAGGTATCTGTACCAGTCCTATTCATAAGAAAGAAAGGATCGAGAATAGAAAACAGCAAAGGCCAACACCTTCTCTCAGCCCTCCTCATATATAGTGCACAGGTTGCAGAAAAAATTTAATGCATTTTTACAATTAAATACATACATGTGTTTCCTAATTAGCCATCTGCCCCCTGGATGCAGAAGATCCCAGCTAAAGAACCAAACATCTATGCTCAGTCTGTGTACCTACAAGAGTGTGAGCACATGCAAGCAGCTGACTGTATGGGAAGATGTGAGATTACAGCAAGAGCTGTGTAACTACCTTCTAGACATAGGTGTTACACAGCTGCCCCAGGAACCCCAATTCAAAGCAGAGGTGGAAAAGGAGTAGCCTCCAGTACCGCAATAACATCCTTACACCAATTTCAGCAGGTCAGACTTTACTTATTCCACCGTGCTTTTCTTTATGCTGAAAGTGTTCATGAAGCATGCACTGAAAGCTATTGAGAATATTCTAGCTTCAAGCTTAGCTGCTGGTTGGTTTTTTTGGTGGCTAATATTTTAATTTTCCTCTCCTTTCTTGCCAGACACCTGCTAGTTTAAAGCTATGCTGTCTCCAACCCACTTCTAGCTTAAAACCAGCAGAAGGTCCAGATGTTTCTCATCTAGCACACAGTAAACACAATGGCACTCTAGCAAATAGGCTATTTCAGCACCTGGTTATGTCTGAAACTCTCCCTGGTGCTTTGGGAAACAGAGTAAGGCAATGAATTGTTTTCAATTATAACACAGTTATTTGCAAACTTGTTTGGTGCCTAGAGCCTGACGAAAACCATGTCCTTACTCACCATAAGGGATATATGCCAAGCCTACTGACAATGAAGACAACGGCAAATGTAAGGAACAGAAGATCACTCAGTTTTTGACACTTGCAATAGTTTGCCATTTTGGCAGCCTGCAAAAGAAAAAGATGTCTTTTTACTTCCACGAGGACAACTGAATTCTCTTGTACTGTGTATAAGCTGTAAGAAAAAGAAGAAATAAATTTTTTATGAAATTGCTAACATTTTCATGGGCCACCTCACAGTGATCTTGGAACTCCTCTCCACCAACCAGCTGGAAAATATCTTCTTTAGAAAAAAAAGTCAAACCAGACTACATAAAACTAGAGTATTTATTTAATTTCTTTATTTCCCACTCAATTTCATTTTTGAGATTCTATAATTTCAGATTTGCAAAACTCTTCTAAACCTTTTTATTGAACCCCAGTATGTTTATGGTGTCTTTGTCACCAGCCTCTTTACCTGCTTATCTCTCACCTTTCCAGTATGCTCCACTGGTATTTTCAGCATCCATCTACCTTCCATGTGCCCCATGCTCTCTGACCTTCTAGTAGCTGCTATATATAAACTTTGTCTCAATTCTTCCAGTACACCCCATATACTACATTTTTCTGAAGCATCTCTTCTTCCTTTTCTGCCTATACAGAACAGTCTCCACCTCAAAGATTACACCCCTTCCGTTCAAGTATTTATCCAAGGCTCTCTTTTCAGCTTCTGCTTTCTAACTTGTTCTCTTATGCTTATATTTACATGCTTTTCTCACTTGTCTTCATGCAATTTGCTGACTCTTTCCCAGGGAAGGACTCACTAATTCATTAATCTTCTCTGAAACTGCTCATTAAAGCACTGACATTCCCAGAAGTTTCTTTACCCTTGTCTCCCTGAAGAAAATGGTATATAGGGAAGGAAGCTTGTTTTAAGATGTCTGTTCTGCTTCCAGAGTGTTAATGTGTGCAAGCAGTTAATTATTTTAAAACAACATCTGCTTTGAGACAGGGTCAGTCTTCATGTTTTCTGTCAAATGTATCCAGAGAGTCCACTTAAGTCACTGGGAACTCTTTTGTGTCCAGTTAAGCCATTGGGAACACTTTCAAAGCTCTTTTCTGAGGGGAGCTGCATCCAGCTCCCAGCATCCCAGAAGATACTTGTGCAGGCTTTCCAGAGTACTAAGAGGGAGCAAAATTACTACAATTATGCATACAGAAGACGATTCTGAATGCAGAATTCAAACCAGTGAAACAGATAATCTGGATGCCAAAACCAAACCTGCACTTTTGGATGTCACCCAATTTCTGCAATGTTCCTAGTAAAAACCTGAACATGAAGATTACTCCTCACTAAAGAAACCCAGTTAGGAAGCATCCAGAACATGAGGAAAACCACCACAGCTGTGAAGAAAACATAACCCTTCTGAATCAGCTCAGTTTTCTAGAGGACACATACAAATTTCCTAGCAGCTCATATTCACAGCCTAGCTTAAAAGAAAAGAGAACACTTTGGGGCCAACATACAAAGCAGAAGCATTACTTTCTTGCTTTTCAGATGATGGAAAATTCAGTCCAAGAATTCTGGCTGCATTTCCATGGTGGCAGTCTAAAAAACTGGTTTCATAGTGCATGAAGCTGATATTACTATAGCAACTTGTAGTAGTATCAAGTCATTTCTCAAAAACAGTACATCTATTGGGACATTGGTTCTCAAATAACAAATTACAATAATTCTACAAATTATAGTGATAAAGAAAGACTACAAAAAAGGGTAATGAATATGTTGTTGTTGGATGGAATTTGGCCACCTAAGACAATAGAACACAATTTTCTGAATTTAAAAACCATGACTACAACTGAGGAACACAGCATTAGAAATTCTTGAAAATCCTACTATGGCTCTACCAAATGTCCAGGTACCTTAATACCTGTGGAAAAATATCTCACCTCCAGTATTCCCACCAAGGCACACTACATTTTGTAACGAGAATAACAAAAAATGGTGCTTTCTAGCTTTCCAGTGGATGTGTTTCATTATGAAATGGTAGATGGAAAGAGTCTAGTGCCCTCCAGAAAGAGCGTTTCATTCTTACAAATATGTAATAGGTAACACAAGTCAGGTGCACAACTGACCCATCATGGCAAGCTATTTAATCAACTTCTTTTGCAGTTTGATAGTTTTCTTCCTCTGCACTGACCTTCCCCTCAGTAATGTCAGCAGTATGCAAGAGTCCATCTCCTCTCATATGGCACCAGTGTTGTGACCCACTGCCCTAGCAGAATTTCCAGTCAAACCAGACTGAAAGAACTGACTAGAAAGACCACTTAAATATGTGCCTCATGAAGAAGCATATCTGTGTAATGTTTGCAACTCTGGTGGGAATACCAGCAATTTCTCTTCATCTTAGTAAATGAACAGAGGGTAAAGTTTTAGCTAGCCTAGTACAGCTGCTCTCTAGTGTTTTTATAGTTCCACAGACACTGGTCTGATCTAGAATAAACATCTTTAAGTACTTCTTTCTGGTGGTGAGAATAGAGGAATGAAGAAAGTTTAGGTGAAGTCACAGCTAGCTATACACATTGCTAAACCAGAAAAATAAAATTGCAAAGATGTGATTACTTTTATCATGAAAAATCCATATTCTCTTTTGCTTTCTATCTCAGGCAGTCATGTGCCTTTCTAGATCAAAAAAGATTAAAAAATAAAACCATATTTACAGCACTACTGAATCAGAATGGCAGGATCTTGATTTTGCAATAGGTGACTCATGCAGTAAGTCTATATTCTTGCATAATAGGTATCCTTGTAGGTACTTGAATAAAAAATAATTTCAGACAAAATAGTTATTAACTTTGGAGGAGAGTTCAGAGACAGCCAAATTCCAGCATGACCCAGAGATCTCTAGCAACTGATGCAGATAAAGGATGACAACATCTCTAAGTTGCCACTATGGAAGTTCAGACCATCTTGACTTATAAGAATTTCAGTCATCCCTTCTCCAAATACAGCTGCTGGTACTGGGAACCAGAGGCATGGGAACCTGGAAAGTCAAGAGGTTAGTTCACTGGCCATGCCCAAATAAGCCACTAACTGTCCAACACCCTCTGCCCAGTCAAGCAGAGCAGAAACACACCATGACACCTTGATTCTTTCACAGACAGGGTCATTGCTCCACATGCCATGTCACAGGGGTTAAGAACCAGGTGACTCACTTTCACCACTTTCCAGACACTGCAGCTTTAGATTTTAATTTTGCCATGCTGTATTTAGAATCTGCATGTAACCCTCCCTGGCATGCAATGCACTGCCAATCTCTGCTCTGTACAAGCAACATATCAAAGGAGAAACCAGTCTGAAATCAGAAATATGCACTGCTACAAGTGCAAGATTTAAGCAAGGAAATAGAATATATTAATCACTGTTACCATTTTGAACTGGCTTAGGAAACACTTGTTCTGCATGGCAAAAAGATTGTATCTACTGACAGGATGACATATGAATGATCTCACCTCTAGGACAATATCAGCTGCATCATGGAGACATAAGATCAAGGTTCCCACTCGTGTCAAATTCGTTACGTATGAGAAGGTAATCAGGGTGACTGTTACAATGTGATGTGTAAACATGATTCCAAAGTCCTAGAGAAGCAGAAGCAAGGAAAAGACACAAAAACCAAAAATACAATGAAGCAAACACTGATATTCTGTACTCATATACAAAATTGGAGGGTTGTTTCTTAAATCCAGCATTATATTTACGTTATAAAAATATCTACTATATAAGTGTATTATACACCCTGCTCTATATTTCATTTAGACTGAATAAAATAATCATTGCATGTTAACCAAATGCAAAAATATTATTGAAAGCTAGGCAATGACCACACTTCTCAGTTCATAGTAATTTAACCAAATAAAGTAAACATTTGCAGTTGAAGTTACTTTGAAAAGGCATATGTACATGCAAATCAAATTCCACCGTACCTTTTATGCATCAAGTAACATATGATTATAACAATATGCATAACCAAGTGCCAAATAATGCACCATTCAGAAGAGAGAAAATAGCTACAAAGGAAGGCAATATTACACTAGGACAGCAGGCACCTGCCAAGAACAACTGGGAGAATTCCAGATCCAGGCTTTTATTTGTTTTTTTTTAATCAAGGTGCTTTGTCTTCACACTAACAAGGTCAGGAAAGTCTTCAAATGAGCTGGAGCTTCTCCTCCTAATTGGTTCTAATCTGCTGCCTCCCGGATGATGCAGGCTAGCAGGTCTCCACACCAGTAACTCTGTTATTTGGCCATAAAGTAACTGTTACTATTGAAAAATTTGGGAGTGGTAGGTGCTCCCAGAAGTAACATCACATTCCCAGATACTTGCCACAGGGCAGATAAAGCAGAGGGAGCAACCTGCCTGCCTGGACTAGGCTCCCAGACTGATTAATGAGAGAACAGGGCCTCATGAGACTCTTCTCAGCAAGGGACTGAATTAGTAAAAAATAAGTCTTGTTGGCATTTGCTGAACTACCTGCACAGCTTTGAGGAAGTGATATTAAAACCCCTGAGATAAGATCACAGGCAACATTCAACTGGGAAGTTTCTCTATGCACCAGATGTAAAATCTGTAGCACAGCTCCCAGCAGATCTAGTAGTTCTCGTGCAGAGCTGTCAGAAAGGAGAGAAATCCAGGCAGTCAAAAGGAGCAGTTCCTTCAGGCAGCCTGCTCACCAAGTGTATTGGGAGCTAAATTTGGCTTTCTGATAGCTTTTGTTGGCCACTTCCGCTGAGCTGAGGTAGTCTTCAGCTAAGTGGCCCACAAGAGAGAAAACCAAAACTGTGCCTTTAGAGGGGCAGCACCTGGTTTGCAAAGGAACTGGAGATACCTGTGTCAGGCAGGACGGCCCTATGGAAAGTGCCATGAGCTCAACACAGGGGCAGCTCTGGAAAAGCAGCAGCTCCAGCCCCCAACTGCACTGTCTGTCCAGTACAGAGAACCTGCACAGTGTTCCCACAGCTCTCTTTGGGAATGTAGCACCACTGGTTTTAAGGATGTGCAGTCCCACTGCCTCTCAGCTCCAGCACGTGCCTTCCCTGCAATGTACACCTGCAGTCCATGGAAAAACCTGCAGCTTGAGCGGTCTCACTAACTGAAGAGGGACAGGACCTGCTCCCAGCCTATCACTTATGTTTAATGCTATCAGGTGCTACAAGATCCTATTTCCTACTCCTCAGTAGGCACTGCCAGTACATCCAACACAAAGCTGAGGAAGGGTAGGAGGGCAGGGAAGGGGAGAAAAGATAAAAAGACTAAAAGCAGAGATGCAGAAGCCAGTTTAGCATGTACCAAATATTTCCCAGCCAGGTTATCTGGCCCCCAGAAGCATGGAACACAATAAAATACATTTAGCAGTCATATCAAGCCATTGCTCTAAATCCATTTTCTTCAAGGAGACAGAAGAAAAAGACAATTAAAGGCCGTTTCCCTTTCTGTGTGTCCTAAAGGAAAACAAGGGTATGGCATCCCAGTCATTTCAGGAACTACAAACACACACAAGAAGACCATTTCACCACTTCACAATAATAAACCAGCAAAGCACCTACCTTATTCTATGGGATTACAAGTAAGCTACTATTATTGCCCTATGGCCATACTGCAGCATAGCTCTTTACCTCCTTCACCTGCAGGCACTATGGCACTGTTCTTTATTTTCCTTCCAAATGCAATTATGTTAGCACATAGGCAATCCTAATGGGGCAAAAAGTCAAGCAGATGATCTTCTCTATTTTCACAGCTGACAAATTCATGTTCTACAAATACCAGATTTCCAGTCCCTCTTGGAAATTCTTCAAGGCATTCCTGACAATATGGATTAGTCTTAAGAAATCCTAATGTTCTTGGGCAGCAGTCTTCTGCATTTTTTGCAGGACTCTTCTTAAAGAGATGCTGTCTGGGGAACTCCTGTAATACTGTTTCTTAGAAAAGACAGTTACTTGACTCTGCCACCTCTGAAACAGAAGCGCTGGACTGACCTACAGAAAACTATTGGACAAAAGTAGCAATGACAGAAAAAAGACTGCTTTGTTACTGGGATTGTTTCTTTCCTCTTTGTGACACTTTTTAAAGACATTAATTAATACTATGCTCTGAAGATGCTACCTATTAGACTTTAGTTATATACAAGGGTATTGAACACAGAGATTCCAAGAGGTACCTGTGTTCCCACCTTACTCCAGCACTTTCACACTAGGGTTAGGGTTTTGAAAAGCACAAAGCCCAGGGCTCCAGGCACAATACAGCTGCAAAGGGCATCCCAAGGGGAACACAAAACTGCCACAACATGCCTTCCTCCACAGCTTTTTCCCTGGAATCAGCCCTAGCCCTATTCTGCTTTTCCTGCCTAGGGTTAGGGTTAGGGTTACGCATATAAAGTGGAAGAGCAGCTGTACAGGAATGACCTTCTTGATTTTGGTGGTTTTTTTTAGTTAATGTATTTCAAATCATATGTATGTTTGTGAAAGACGTGTTTATTTACACAAGATTTATAGCCTCCAATTATAACTGCTGGAAGATGTCATGTGCCTAGGTTAATAAAATCTGTGGCTAAGAATAGGAGAGAGAACCTATTCTAGACACCATGAGTGGGAAGAACACAGGGCAGACAGCAGAGAAACCGCATGGGTCTCAACTTGTAGACAAACCCTCTGGAATTAAGACCTCTGCCACTCACATTTGTTTAACATGTCACACTCACTGACTGAACTGCCAAGGGGCCATGGAGCATTAGTGCCACTGAAGGGCAAAATATCATCTTCATGGCTAATATTACAGATCAACAAGGAAATGGAAAGGCCTGCAAAATATATGCAATCTAAACTGCTTCCACTGAAACAAAAGAAACCAATTCTATATGTCTTTCTTTACCAAGAAAAGTCTCTTTGAAGAAATCTAGTATCCAAATTTAGCAAAATACAGTGTAAACTTTCTAGAATAAAAATTCAGTATTCAAGAAAATCAGAAGCTACAGATAATTTTATTCTTGGAACGAGTGAACTGTCATATTAAAAAAAAAAAATTAAAACACAGAAGCTCTAGAAATTGCCAAATGATTGGAAATAAAAGGCATGAACACACAGAAAGGTCCCCTAGACCTTCTACAAACCTGTTAAAACTCTGAGTAGAAATTTTACACATTCCTTTAAATGTACCTGTCAAATAATTTACCATTAAACAATACATCAGGTATCCAGAAACCATGTAAATAAGCCTCATTGCTTTTAAGGCTCATCAGGTGCTTTTGAAACTAACAAACTTCCGTAATTATTTTTTTCTGTGTTTTACAAAACAGGAGCATGGGAAGCTGGAAAAAGATGATAAAACACCAATTCATACTAGGTTTCAGTCTTTGAAAATTAACACCCTTAAGGGAGAATATCATTACAGCAGTATAGTAGGTATTTATGAAGCTAAAAGCATGCCACTATAAAACTGTAGAAGTTTATACACACAGTTCACTGACTTAATGCCAATAGTAGGTTAGTGCAACAGCCTAGTTTGCTCACAGCCCCAGTCAGGCAAAGACAATCTGGTGGAATTTGTAACACCTAAATAAACAAGTATTTGAAAGTCAGAAAAAAAACCCCTGGAAGTAATTTCTGAAGTAATCAGTTTGCTATCAGAGAAGAATAAAATAGAGATGGAAAACATTAAGTACATTTCTCTTGATCTACAGTAAATAGAAGACCAGTTCTGGAGTTAGGCCAGTGCTGAGGGCTGCTGCTTCCAGCAAGGACACACTGCACCTCTCCTTCAGACAAACTCAACTACATAAAAAAACCCACTTGGCTGAATTCCTGCAGTGCACAATACTGCCTGGGCACTTCTGACCATCCCAGAATACAACACAGCCACTGCTGCTGAATTTAAAGTATCTAAAACAATAACCAAGATTTCTATAAAAATATTCCTTTCACTGTAACATGAAAATATCAACAGCTTCCTCAGGTTCAGAACTGAAGCCAATTGTGAAATATGACAATAGCATCCGATATTAGCTGGCAAATTTGCTGCTTCCTGTTAAACAGATCCCAATTCCATATGGGCACCATTCCACACATTGCATACAGGGTGCATTACAGGGCTTCCACGTTTTTTTAAACTCGGCCTTCTTTTAAAAGAGAACTACTATGGTGTTGCAAGAACTGGTGTCTCTGTCAAGCTTGCACTCCTTTTTGCCAACTATTGTAAGTCTCTAGTACTAACGTTTTTCAGCTCAGTGGGTTTCTGTGGCAGCTTGTACTCTTAAACAGTTTTACTGTGTGACGCCAGGGCACAGCTGCATTTCTCCAATCTGATCTTCCTCCTTATCAATTCTGCTTACACTACAAAAAGAGCTGTCTCCACAGTGCGAACCGGTGAGTGATCTAAGAAGTCATTTATAAATACGGCATCTCCAGTGCTCCCTGCTGGGTGCTGATAATGAAAGGCTTTGGACTTGCTATCATTGCACTGCAGATGTGCTCCTGCTCTCTGCTGGACACTGCACATTCTCAGACAGAGCTGGTGCTCAGGACACTGCTTGGATCTGGTGGTCTGGGTGCAGGAGCTGTGGCTGGGGTGTCAATAGCCTCTTACCAATTCACTTCCCCACCTCCATGTCCTATCCTACTTCCACAGCAAGTTGCCCTAAGGTTTCTCTGATAACAGGTACAAGTCATTTATATTTAACTAAGAAACAGACTTGGCCCCTGCAGTGTAACATTTTAGTCAATATTACTCATGATTTAAATTCATCTCCACTATCACACAGCTCCCTTAAGCATTGTTTCTACCTGTTTGTGAAACAGGGAAGTTATACTCATTTCAAGCTCATGGTTAACAGAATGTTTAGCATTTACAGACAATGCAAGCAAGGGATTTATATGTATTCAGCATAAACTGGTTGTTTTATTTACAATTTATCCTCCAATATGGATTTAAATTTTGTGGATGTTTTCTTGAGATTTCTACTTCTGGAATAATCTGGAAATCCAAATAGAGGAGTGTGTTTCTATATAGGTAGCTCTGGTATAGGACTCCCAGGAATACACTGTGGCTCTAAGTGACAGTTGTTTATTCAGGTCATAACACACCCTTCATTTACTCTTTTCAAATTATGCTCCAGATAAAATTCTAATGAACAGGAATTTTTTCATTAGCATAGCCTACAATAATTTATTTAAATGACAGCTGAAGGAAGCACATAAAGATATTATAAAATCCTTACAAATGTTTAAAAAAAGTAATTTTGAAGCATTAAAGCCCCTGCAAGAACAGCTCAATGGACTGTTATTACAGAGTAACTGTTGTGCTGTTTTTCTACTATGGACTAGGATTCTTCTCAGAAGAGAGAACTTGGAATATGGAACAGGTTGCAATTAATTCTGGAAAAATATTTCTATTTGGATAGAGTCTTGGTTTTTTTTCATTAACAACCCTTTAATAGCAATGCTCAGCTACATGACTGGAAGGGTAAAAATTAAATATAACATCACTTTTTAAAATTAAATGTTTTTGCTGTCCATTGTAGAAAAATCTGAAAGCCCTCACAGATCTTATCTCACAAAGTGATACTGTGAATTTATGAGTCAGTCTTGCCCTTTTCTCAGTATTTCATTGTTTAATTCTTACAGGAAACAGTACATCTACCAGATACTACCTGTTCAATTGCCTTCAAGTTACTGCATGAAAGCAGAAGGTTCTTTTGGCTTCTGCTATTTTTGCCCTTCAATATTTTCTCCAGGCTCTTCTTTCCAAGTGCAGAAAAACCTCACTTTACAGCAACAAGGAGCAGAGCAAGACAATCACAGTTTCTCAGTGATGAATATCTGCAAGAGTTGAACACTAGAAAGAACTGCACTTCCAGTTCACTGCAATACAGCTATTCCTCAAATAAAGAAAATGATATGTTAAAGCTTAAAGCTCTCTGTGTTTTTCGTCTCATTGTTCTTACCTTTCTTTTGACGTCAATGAATTGAGAAAACATTAAGGACCAGTAGAATGACAATTCAACGATGTAGTAGTAATGAAGGTCAGGCATCAGGGGCTGAAAGACGGAGATGAGAAAAGGTTAAAAGAGTCTAACTGACATTACAGGCAGCTGTGATCTATAGGAAACATGCTTAATCACAGGGGATTATTGAATTATACAGAAGCATCCTATGTGAAAAAAATTATGATGGTTGCCTCTTTCAAACTCTGATGGCTCTGGAAAAATAAAGCTCCCCAACATATTCTCTTCTAAGGTTTTAGCTCTGACAATACTGTAATACCAAAAATTATGATGTTGTCCATTTGGAACCCAGAGCAAACTAAATTCTGAGTATTCCTAAGTCTGTTTTGAAAGTTTACTTGAAACATCTTGCTGTATATCAGTAATGTGGGTTTTAAGCATAGCAAAAAAACAATGCTAGAATAGACTAGAAAAAAAGTAATGCTAGTATATAACCTCATCTGTTCATGATGAAAATGTGGGCTTTGAGCAGGGCTCTTTATAATAGAAATGCCTACTTTTAGAGAATTTAACCATTTTCTGGGGACATATTAAAATTTGAATGAAGAAAATAAAATAAATTTATCCAAGCATCTTGTCTGATATACAATGTGGTTACAGAGTTGTTTAAAAGTAAAAGAAATAAAAAAAATCCACAAGCAAACCCAACCTGGGGTAACTTCAAAGAAGGTAACTGGTAGCACACAAACACTTCCACCCTCAGCTAAGAGAGCCATTCCTAGGAGCTACTCTAGTTTCCATGCAAATGTGCCCCCATGATAGTCACACCTTCCATGGCAGCGATAGACAGGGACACTGGCAAAGGAGAAACTCCTGAGGCCATCTCCCAAGGGATTAGATAAAACATCTCTAGAGCACCTTGCACTGGCACAACTGTGCACCCAAGCAGGGTATGAGCTGTTTCCATTGGCAAGAGGTATTTCACTTGCACCTTTTATTCCCATTCCCTTTTGCAGACTGAAAGCCAAAATTCTTTTCAGCTGAAAGCCAGTCCTTGGATTCCCAGGAAATGTGCTATGGGTGTTAATTTAATATAGACATATGCTTATGTTTTATGAAAAATGTGTAACTCAAAATCCATCCTTTAAAGCCATCTCTTGGGCCAATATAACTATTTTCTGAGTTAGAGGCACTGCCAACAGACTTTTAATCATGTGTTATTAAAAAAAGGAAAGAAAATAAGAGCTTGCAATGAACTGCAACTATTATACCCATTATTGCAAGGGAACTCACTGGGGAAAATTTCTAGTAAAAATGAAGATTTTCAGCTGCTTTATTAACAACAGCATTAGTATTTCTAAAACCATACATGGTGATAGTGTAGGGCAATTCTAAAGATGTCACAGATTCCTTCTTGGATCAATAGTGTGTTTAACTTAGTTCAAATGTTAGTTCCAGTTCTCCATAGACTTAACCTCAAGAGGTTAACCTGTGCTTATGGCTGTGTCATCACCCAAATGATCCATTTGACTACGTCTACAGTAAAGTCCATCTGGATTTCTGCAGTACATTGTTAAGTAATTTAAAAAGGAGTTTTAGCAAACAAAAGATTAGAAATTTTATGTAGTTATGGAAAAAAATAACAGAACAAACTGAAAACCCAGTACTTAGCTCTGATTAGCACCCAGTAGATATTTTTTAGTTTGAGACAATGATCTTCATAATGACTTTAATCTGACAATTTGCTTTATGCTGAATCCTCACCACTACTAGAACGATATTAGGTATAGTAATTTTAGCTCCCACACTCTAAAAGCTGCAACCAACTTTCTAAATGACTTTGTTCTTCTGGTAAATCTGGTAAATGTATATGCTTCAATCAGTGATTTCATAGTCTTTTGTTTTCAGTCAACCTCTTCTTGCATGTAATAACACAAAAGAAGTAGGAAACGGGGCTGAGAGGCACCAGTGACTGTAGCTACATCAGTCTAAGAAACATGTGTACCTGAAGTTTCTGAGGGATTAAGTTTCAGCACTTCCCCCATTCAATTTCTGCTGCTGCTTCCCTAAAGCTGTTCAGTTCACCCTCCTGTCTCTGGGTGGAATTTAAGTCATTATTTCTTCTGAGGCTACATGACTTAATTCCCTCAACATTTCTCAGGTCAAGATTTCTGCTGAACTGTCGCCACTGAACTATTTCCAACAGAGACACAACCTTCAAGAACAGTAGCATTTTTGGAATTTAATGTATGGAATTCAGGTGTGATAGCTATGTTCATCTTTCCCATCTTGAACTCAAGCAAGATGGGAAGAATCTAGCAACGTTCTGAAATGCTGAGTAGCCCATTCACACAAACACACTGGCACAAAGCTCCACCATAACAAAACCAGAGCTCTGCAGAAGTGTCATGCTTGGTTTTAGACAGCACTGTGTCTTTTACCTGATATGGATACCCACTCCAGCACTGCCTGGTATTCCAGAGCCAGGGTGTCTGAAAGGAAGAAAAAGCAAAACAAAGGTCAGTACAGACCACTTGGTGCTACGTTAGGTGTACATATTTAATACTAACAAAGAACAAAAAATATAAGAACAGCTCAGAATTGACATTTTTTGATAGAGGTTATGAAAACCAAATAGACCAAGGAGACATCTCAGAGTTTCACAGCATGAATTAGAGCAATTTGCCTGTTTTCGTTGGTACCCCATGACCTCACTTTTGCAAGAGTGCAGACTGAAAGTAACCAGGTCATGTTAGGATGTTCAGATCTTACACTATATTCTCAATAGCACAGGAAATTTTGACCTCATCCAGCTTAAATATTTCAAAGAAAATTCCTTGCATGTGCCATTATATATAGGCATTCTTCCATATAGGATCCATCCTTCATCTTTACATAGCCTTATCTACTCTACATTCGAGTACAGAGGGGACAGAGCATCATTATTAAGTCTCCTGGAATAAGGCAGCACACAGCTTACACTTACAGCATTAAATGCTTCCCCTAGATCACAGTTTTTCAAATAAATCCTCACTGCCTGAGAGGAAGCATGTTCTTGTTTTCACCATCAGGTGGAGCAGCTCAGCTCAGGCAAGCCATATCAGACTTATCCAAAATAAAATGGGTGAGTGCCAAAGCAAGAAAACGGACACTAGGCAGAATGTTAAAGCCCTCAGGCTAAGAATCAGGCTAGGTAGGAAGAATTTTTGAATATGCCCTTTAATGAAAAAGAAGACAAAATAAAATTTTCACACCAATACCCCCAGTGCTCCTGAAATGACAAAGAATAGTTCTTACAGTAGCCTGAAATGTATGCCAACAGACCTCCTGGAGTTTCTGATAAGCCTCTCTCAAGGATGCTGTAATATTGCTTAAAGTCCATCCAAACTTATCCTTCCCTCCATTAGATATACCTTCTTCATGGAACCAATTAATTAATTGGTTCAAATGTCTCCACAATATTTACTGTGCTATACAAGTTGCCCTCATTTCATGAAATTAAAAAAAAAAAGTCTTTGGAAACAGCCACAGTATCGCTGCAAGATCTGCAAGACAATATAAAGAATCTAAAATATTTCTGTCTGACAGTTGCCTATATTAGATCCACACAAATATTCTAGGATAATTCATAGTTTTAGCCAGGTTTGAAAAGCTGTAACTGTCTTTCATATCATATTCATCAAAAGACAAGAGATGCTTCCTACCCAATTATTTTGCTGCCTAAATTACAGGTCCTAGCAAAAAAAGCATATTTTTCTCTTTCAAATATTATGACATCTTAAGTCTTCTCCATAGAGATGCTTGCTGCAGGAGCTACAGATACAGAGGTTTATGAGCAATTAAAATGCTGATTGCTAAATAAATTAGGCCTTTCTTGATGAACCTCTAACCACAAAGCCCTACAGGGTATCACAACTGACAAATAATGTAATGTATGCATTAAGCCTCAAAGACCAATACAGCAGAATATATGCCCCTTCTGAGCCACATAAGGCTCAGAAAGCCATGCTGCCATCTCAGACAAAATGCTTCTGAGTTGCTGTTTGGAAACCTTATGGATCCTTTGTGGGCAAGAGCACTTAAAATAGCAGGGCTCCTGCAGCACCTTCTTACCCTTCTTGCCTCCTCAGTCTCCCTTCCCCTTGACTTGCCTTGGCATCTCTGAATTGCTCTTAATAGCTTTAGCAACAGGGCACTTTGGTTATGCTTGTCCCAGAGGGTTTTAGGGAAGAGGTGGAGGAAGAGCTTGATTAAGCACAACCTTTCTCTCTGACCTCCACAATGAGCACAGCCCTAGACTGCACTCAACACCTAAATGTAAACCACAGTTACAGCTGGACCAAGAAGCATCTTATTTAGTCCTCTGTGAACTTCACAACTGTGGAATACTGTGTGTAGGGGATTCAGTAGGAAGCAACAATCTAAAAAAAGCCTACACAGTCTGCAGTGTGAGACCTAGACCCAACAGTGAAAGGCGGATTAATCATAAGGGACCTAAGACCAAGATTCCAGGGCTCAAGTGAGTCCTGTGTGTGCTCCTAGGACATGTCTGCAAACTTCCTCATAACAGGTAAGTTCACTGTGAAGCAGAGCACATCTCTGCCTGAAAGTCCCATGTTGGATGAGAAGAAAAGGTCAATGGACTTGGCTCCACAACAAAACCTTTTTTGATGAACATAAAAGCATGCTTCTGTTTTTGCTGCCTGCTGAATACCCAATTTCATTTTACTTCCTATTCTTGGTATATAATGTCTGAGGAAGGGAGGGACACAAGGGGATGGGAGAAGAGAGGAAATGCAAAGATGCTGATAACAAAAAGATCCCCCCTTAAGCTGGAAACAGAATTCTAAAAACTTCAGTACCAATTATGCTAAGCACAGAGCACCAGCCCTACAATGCTGACACCCTGCCTTACAGACCATAAAGGAGTCCAGATGGGAACTGAAGTTTTACCACACTTAGGTGCAGTGCAAAATGAATGCAATATCAGTGACAGAGGATGTAAACAGCTGTTCAATCTCTTGAGATTTACAGTATTAAGAAACAAATCACCATAATTCCCTTACAGGAATATCTGTTAAAAACTCCATCAAATCTCTCTCCAACTCTGTGATTAAATAGAGTAATTTTAAAGAATTCTTTCAGAAATAAAACTTCTCTTGAGACAAGGGAATGACTAAGGATTTTGGGAAAAAAAACCCAAAAAAACCTTTCCAAAATTATCTCTCATGTTTGCATGCTTAACCAGAAGCCTTGGGTTGTTTTGTATCCATTGTCTCATTCACCTATCTCTAGAGAAAGCATCTAATTGGCCCCTGGCTTTCAGAAAGCACTAAGAAATGAAAAACTCCAGGTCTTGCTCAAAATGCTGCTAGTATTTAGCATGTGAAAGGTCAGTTGTGATAGTAAATGAAGGGGGAAAAATAAACAATACAATAAAAAACTTACCATTTATCACAAAAGAGCTGCTATGCACCTGATGTAGTCATGACTGTGAGGTCATGGTGTAGCCCTCAAAGGGGTTCTTCCAAAATTTTTAGGTAAGGAAGAAAAATCGTCTGATTTTTCTATCAAATAAAGAAATCTGGCTGCCGTTTTTACCAGAATCCAGCATGTAAAAATCCGGGAACATCAAGACAAAATCCCCACATTTCACTAAAGTAAATTTATGTTCAAAACACATTTCAAATCAAAATAAAACATCCTTAGTCCAAAAAGAAAATATTTCAAGTTGCTTTTCAAATTAGAGGGCTTTTGATCCTGTAGAGCAAAACCAGCAAAATACAGAGCATTCACTGTGTACATGTACACTACTCTGCCAAGATTTTTATCTGGCTTGGTTAATGCACTTGAATACAATTTTGTATCATTTGTTACAAGCAATATTAAGTGGAATGGAAATTAGCACTATTAATTACAGTCAAGATAATATACACTTTCAGCAAAGCTCTACTGATCTCATTTTTTTGGGGGATGATATAGGGAAAGAAGTCAGAGATGTGTCATGGTACTCGTACCTACATCCATCAAGTTACAGCAGGTCCTTGCTTTGCTCTTCACAGAAACAAGTGGTACAAAGTAAGGCCAGCAGATTTCCTCCTGATCAGTGCTCACTTAGCCCCAAAATGCTGAGTGCAATTTGCTCTTAGCCCAGGAACAAACCTTCACTGTCTGATACCCGTGTCCAGGGCAGACACAGCCAAACTCCCCTCCTCAGCAGCAGCTGCCCTGTCCCAGCGCAGGCAGAACAGCGGCTCCTGCTGCCCCGGGCAGACCCCTCCCTTGGTGTATCCCCAGCCTTACACCTCATCTACCCAAGAGTGCAACTGCAACAGCAGAGGAGACTACCAGCTTTCTGTTCACTGTGAAATGCAGTAACATTTGACACTTTTCACAGATTTTTTTCTTATCCAGGAACTGAAACTGATAGCCTTTTAGTCAACAGCACCTTTCACAACATTAGGAGAAGGACAATTATTCATAATTAACAGGTTTTTTTGGGGTGTTGAGTAGTAGTTTTTTTGGTTAGGTTAGATTTTGTTTTGTTGGTTGGTTTTGTTTTTGTGCACTTCTACTTGCTTAAATTAAATAGTACCTCAATGCTTATTTTTCCCCTGTTATGGCTAGGGTTTATAACACCTTTTTTCTTTTACAATGTATTAATAAAAGTTCCTTTTGGACATCACTTGGATGAATAAGCACTTGCTTAGAGGTAAATTGAAATGACTGATTTCTTTTTTTTCCCTGCAACACCTGTATGGTATGCTGGATGGCTGCTGACATTAGAAAGAAAGTTAGATTACTTGGCAATACAAAAAGCATCCTTCCTTACTCTCCTCTGCCAGCTGCTCTATGTTCTACTATTAAAATGACTCCATGCATGTATGGTAAACCCAAGAGATTTTTTAATAAGTTAGTCTCTTAGATACAAATTCCACAATGATCCTGGGCTTCCTTCCCTATCTTGGCTCAATGAAGATCAGCATAACTGTACACTACTGCAGTTTTTCACTCTTAAGGAGCATATATATCCATGAAAATATTTGCTTCTGCATATAATGTACAAACAAATACATTCTTATTTCTCTTAACTACAGAAAAACTCCGTGGTATTAATTGTTGTAAAACAAGCCACAGTTTTACAAGTTATAGAAAGTGACCTCTTTTGTTTTTTCACCAATATAAATATTTTGCAGCTTCTTTCTCTCCAGCAGAAAGGATTTAATTTTCTTTCTCATTGTTCTTGATTTCCAGAAAATTCATAAAGCAACAACCAGAACTTTGAGTCAGCTTTTCAAAGTTTCTACCATCTTCCACTAAGTCTGCCTTATGATGTCTCGGAAACTCACTGATGTCCTACAGATGTGTGCTTTTTCCTACTATCCTCTGAAAAACTGCCCTGAGTATAGCAACATCCCTTGCTACTGTTGTATTTGTTTTGCTACTACTTAAGAATTTCTCAAACTAAAGTTTCACTGATTTCAAAAACACA